TTCTGATTAAGTCTTAACATACTAAAACTAACTGTAGTATTATTGTCTAGCTAATCTGACGAATTGTGGTTAGTTGTAGTTGTATTGTCTGTTCAATTACCTGACAAACAGTAGTAATTGTAGTCTTGAATTTAGAATATATAATATACAGTTATATCCTAGTTGTCCAAACTTTTAAGAATAAAGTCTCTACGAGGTTCTCTATAGAATAAATAAAAGATTAGTATTAGTAAGATAATATCAAAGGTATAATTACTGAAGGAACTCACCTATGAATCTAAACTATCATTCAAATCTAAATATCCTCTTTTAACTAATCCATTTGTAGATTGTATAAGATTTTAGATAGTCAAGTAACTGACTCGCTGTAATTCCTAGTGGCAATATATACAAATAGGTTATTAGTAAAAAAAGATATAGGTAATACTAGCAAAATAGAGATGAGAATAGGTTGAATAGTAGCTAATATAGAACAAAAAATATAGAGAATATTAGTTTTAGCAGTAGATTAGCAGACTGGCTCTTCTCAACTTGTGCTGAATTAAGTGCAATATGGACTATGATATTAGTAACACTATATAATACAAGTATAAACATCTTCTCAAACAACAAAACAGCAATTAAGAGCATAATAAGCAACAAAACAGATAGCAATATATTGTATTTACTTAATATATCACATAAATATAATATAAGCAGTATATTACTTAAATATAATTTATGTGATATATGCGATATATGCAAAATATGACATATATGCAATATATGCTATTTATGAATTATATACAATTTATGCAATTTACTCATGTAATTTGTGATCATGTTAGGGTTCTGGCCTGGTTCAGACTTAATTTTCAGAGCTCACAATATATCTAACTCTTTTTTGCCTTTTAACTTTTTTAAAATTGAAATAAGCTCTTCTCGTATGTTTTTTTCTCTAATTAATCTTTGCATTATTGCTTCTTCTCTTTTTGCGATTACAACTTGAATACTATTTTGTAAATTTAAGGGCTCTGCTATAAGACTATTATAGTTCTCTAGCAGTGCTGATATCGGAACTTTAAAAAAGTAAGATCACTTAAGTTAAAAAATAATAATAATAATATATTTAAATTCAAATATTTAGAATATAGTTAATAAACATACTATAATAGATATTGTCTAATTGCATGCTATCTGTTAAAGACTTTTTAATGCATATAGACAGTATATGTATTTAAGCAATAAGAACCAATTTTTAAATATTTAAAAAATAAATTTTTTTATATATTTTAAGAGTATATCCAATTAGACAGTATATATTTAGAAGTATCAACTATATATTTAATTCGATAAAACTAAAAATATACTTTGTATATTGCTAAATATTTAAAAGATTAATTATTAAAATTTGATTTTTTTTTTGTTAAAATAATCTCTTTAGCCAAATAAATTTTATAATACAATACTTATACGAGAATAGTCTTACTATATTTAAATTATATGCTAAATATACAACTAATCAAATATACAACTTTACTTTGTATTCTATGTAGTAATATTATATCAGGTTATACCTAAAATCACAATAAAGCTTCTACTAAGCTATTCACAAACAAAAAAAATAATATAATCAATTCATATCATTAATTTAGTATCAAGTATCAATGTTTTTATGTCTATTGGATTTCGGGCTTTTAAAGCATTGTTTGGTTAGTCAAGTTTGCATTTGAAGAAATCACTAAATCATTTGACGTAAATACATGATACAAGTTATTCTCGTTATAGTGAATTCTTGATATAATGAAGTTCTTAATGTAGTGAAAAATTTGTTTAAATTCATTGCCATTATTATTAACTCTTCGCTCGATATAATAAAGTCTATATTGTATTCTCTCGATATAAGCTATAGTGAAGATTTTTTTTTTTTCAGCTCGTTTATTTCACTATAACGAAGTATACCCCGGTCGAAATTTCTCACGTATGATTTTTGAGGTTAAAAAAATTAGGATAATTAAAATATTAAAAATTTTAAGATTACATTAACTGTTAATGTAGGTCAAGGTGACGCGCATTTTATATTCGGCTAAGCCGACTAAGCCAATAAAATTTTACCGGCTTGGTGATCGAAAAATTTTGATCAACCAGAACCACCAATGCTAACGACAAATGCTATGCGTAATTTATTCTACTATATTTATGCACAATGCCATAATGTCGTAATTCGGTAATTCTACCGTCAACTATAAGTATATAGTAAAATTCCTACAATGATTAATGGTAGAAATAGAATAATTACTCGACTAGTTGATTGATCGATTCTACCAAAATATAACTTATCGTTATGTGTAATTAATCATTTTTTTTATATTAAATCACGTATTCCCCTCCATAAATGCACGTGTCCC